TCCTGTAGGGACAGCAATGCCCACCCCATGACATCATTTCATCCTAATGACCTTCCAGAGACCCTGTCTCCCAATGTAGCCCCTGGGGATTAGATCTTCCACATACGCATCCCAGGGCAACACAGTTCAGTCCTTCATGCCGGATCCTCCCTAGCCACGCCCTCCCCCATGGCAACAAAGGCAATCACCCCCCAAAACAGCAACCCCTTCTCTCACTGCTGGCCCACCGACAGGAGCAGCCCAAGGGCCCAAGGTGCCAGCTCACGGTCACGGCTTCTGGGTTCATCCAGGCAGGTTTCAGCCTCTAGGATCCAGCACGTCTTCTTTTTTAAAATAATTATTTACGTGTTTAGTTGAAAGTTACAGAGAGAGGGGGAGAAAGAGGGAGACACACACACACACACACAGATGGAGAAGAGAGAGAGAGATTGATTTTATGTCCCTGGTTCACTCCCATGTGGGTGCAGGGGCCCAAGCACTTGGGCCATCCTCCACTGCTTTCCCAGGCGCATTAGCAGAGAGCTGGAGAGAAGTGGAGCAGCTGGGACTCACCCGGGCGCTCATATAGGCTGCCGGTGCTATGGGCAGTGGTTTAACCCACTGTGCTACAGCACCAGCCCCAAGCCAGCACTTCTAACCCTTCTGAGCCAAGGTGGCAGCAACACAGCACAAATTCTGCAGGGCTCAGGGGGACTGGGCCTCCCTCCACTCCCTGGTTCCCAGACTTGTGTTCTAGCTATCACAGACACATCTATCAGCTCCCAGTGCATCCAGGAGAAAGATTCTCCAACCCCACAGCTGTTATTCCCGCCGCTGTCACAGCTGAGCCGTCTGCGTGTCAGGGAAGCACTAGCAGGGCCCAGGAGAGCAGCTGGGTCACCCTGTCTACCGATCGCCGACAGCCTCCTTGGCAATGGATGCTCTCTGGTGAGCATTAATGAGGCGAAAAGACCCAAAGCCTTTGTGCACGCTTCCGTGAGCTCATCCACGCACTGCTTGCCTGCCCTCCAAGCCCTTGCCTGACAGCTCAGCCAGCTAGCCCTGCACAGCAGGCAGGGTGCACCTGCACCTTGGGCCACTTCCCCCTTGCAGGAGGCTGAAAAGCAGTTATTGTCTGTTCCTAACTAGCACCAATATAAGACGTCATCTGCCTGTAGATGAGACCCTCTCTATCACAACATCGTAGCAAACTTCAACAGAGATGGTGACAGGAGACCAGATGCTTAGGTAATTCACCTGTTCCTCGGCCCCTAAATGCACCATCACCTGTTAGATTGCTGCTGTGCTTGGCTGACCTGATGCCTCCGTGGCATCGCGTGGTCCTTCAAAGAAACCCAGGCTCTTCAACCCGTGGATCTGGGCTGTGAGCAGTCTTAGGTCATTCCCCACTGCAGTAGTTGATGTCATCTCTCTGGCCTTCCACTCCCGAGTTTCTTGCACTTACAGAAACTAAGCATGGCCACAGTCAGCTCTCTTTCTCACCCCACTCATACAACCATCTCTGAGCCGTTGACTTGGATTCCGATAGCCCAGGTCACCCGGATGGCCACTCCAGCTTTGCCCCCTTCCCTCTCGGGACCCACTGGCCGCCTGGCCCTTGCCATTTCATTGACTTCCACTGGCACAAGGGACTCGATCTCCCCGCCCTCTCCTGTCACGCAGCCAGGTCTTCCGCTGCACTCCTCAAGGTGCCAAAGTTCCCTGGGAGCCTTTTCTTTCTGTCAGTGAAGGGAGTGTTCTCTGCGCCATTCCAGGGAACAGAGGCAAGAGGTGGGACCTAGGGTCTTAGCATTCTCACATTCATGCCTCTCTGAGCCTTCCGTTCTTTTCCCCCTGAATATGCAAAAAAATCCTGGCCTCTCAGCTCATCTGCTGTAGGCTATTCTTGTGACAAGTGCCACACTGCAAAGCGCCTGCTTCAGTGAGGTCACTACAGTCTCCAGGCCAAGAGGAACCGCTCTGTTCCAACGAGCAGGAGAGTCGCTTCTCTCCAGCAGAGGATTTCGGGAGACTGTGGGTTCTGCGAATGTTCAGGCTTGCCCATCCACATGTCTCCATTAGACATCGCAAGGTCCAAATCACTGCCTATCAGAGCCCTGATTGGACATAAGACAGCGATGTAGCTGTGTGTTTAGAATCCTTTTTACCTCTGCCACGCTCACAGTCAGATCCTGGGCTTAATTTTCAGGATAGTCTGTCTTGGATCACAAGAGCATCCTTAAAGCTTTCACGAAGCGTGCCCTAAGTCGGCAGCGGGCTTCCCTGAGCCTGCCATCTGCAAGGCTGCTGATACTGCCAGGAGGCTCCCAACCTCACCATCCTTAGGATTACCGTCTCCCCCACTTAACCCCATTGCAGGGTTCTGTTACGTACACCCCACTCCCGTTAGCTGCAGACGAAGCTTTAGAAATTATGTCAGAGTGTGCATTGTGGCACAGCGCGTTGAGATGCTGCCTGTGACGCCGGCGTCCCATATGGGCTCAGATTCGAGTCCCGGTGGCTCTACTTCTAATTCAGCTCTCTGCTAAGGGACTGGGAAAGCAGAGGAAGATGGATCAAGTGCTTGGGCCTCTGCCAACTATGTGGGAGACCTGGATGAAGCTCCTGGCTCCTGGCTTCATTCTGGTCCAGCCCCGGCTGTTGTGGTCATTTGGGGGAGTGAACCAGCGGATGGAAGACCTCTCTCTCTCTTTCTGCCAGCACTGTGGTGCAGTTGGTTAAACAGTAGCCTGAGTGCCGAGTGGGTGTTGTTTCAAGTCCCTGATAGTGCGCCTGGGAAAGCAGTACATCCACATGGGAGACCTGGAAGAAGCTCCTGGCTCCTGGCTTCACAGATGAGTCCTGGCCATTGTGACCATTTGGGGAGGGAACCAGCAGATGGAAGATCTCTCCCTGTCTCTCTCTCCCTCTCTTCTCCCTCTCCCTCTCCCTTCCTTCTCCCTCTCTCTCTCCCCCTTTCTCTATATATAACTTTTTCAAATAAAAACTAAATAAATCTTTTTTAAAAAATGATCTCTTCTTCTCTCTGTAAGTCTGCCTTTCAAATAAATAAGTAAAGGTTTAAGAAGAAGTTGCAACGTCACTTTTGCCAGATACAGTCCTGTTCACTGTCACACAGGTCCCTATTGCTTAGAGACGGAAAACCCAACTCCAATGTCCCACACTGAAGTTCTGCTTTTCAGAACCACTGTGGTACCTGCTGTCCCTGTCCCTCGGGAGACAGAGCCCACAGCATGCGCGGCTTGCTGACGCGTCACCCAGGGATGCGATCCTAGCACAGCAAAGGGGAGAGGCCAGGGGAGTGAAGCAGGGAGCAAGGGCAGCAAGCGCAAGACCGAGCATCACCGGGCTGGCCCTATCTTCCGAAGGAAGCATGTCCAGTCGCTCAGCGCGCCCGCTGGCTGCCTCCTGACAGCCACAGGGAATCTTGCAATCCCCTTCCCAGACCCCGCGCTCCTCATCCTGCGTCATTCATTGTTTTCCTGCTGGTTGAACTGCCCCGCATTTCTGAGTAGAGGCACCTGCAGGACCCCACGTGCCCTGGTGTCCTGAGTCCAGGCAGGGGGAGGGGAGCCATGACCTCCCTTGGTCCTGCTATGGCTTGAGTGACAGTCCAGTCTTCACTCCAAGGGAGGCTTGATGTTCCACAGTATCACAAGGGCACAGAACATGTGGGGCCCGCGCGACCCTTGAGCGTGGATTGGGTCTGAAACAGGGACCCTGAAGGGCAGATGGACGATGCAGGCTTTCCCATGTACAGAACCTGCCCGGCCTCTCCCAGCCTTGCATTTGTCTTTTTTTTTTGGGGGGGGGGGGGCAGGTGCTTTTGAATCTATCTCAATCCCAGGGGAGTGGCTGTGTGATTCAGGCTAAGCCATAAACATCTCTGAACTTGGCAAATCGGGCAATTATGTTTATCGCAGCGTCGTGAGCGTGGAACTGAAAGGTGACAGAAAGAACATTTATAAGTGACAAAGTGCTCCGAGCATAAACATCGGCGGGGGCTGCTGAAGTCGTGCACTGAGCGAAGCACGCTCAGCGGCTCCCCCCGCACAGGCAGCCAGCACCCAGGGCTCCTGTGCCCTCGGCCGGCTCGAGTTCACACGTCATTCCCTGGCTTCAAACTGTCCAGGTCAGCCAGGAAGCTCCTCCCCAGCCTCCTCCTCTGACAATGGGCTGAGGCCACATGTGATGTGGCCACCCAGCATCCAGTACTCCGTCTGGACCCTAGTGGGTGCTCACAGGCACTGGGCACGGAGCAAATGAACAAGCATTTGCATATTTTTGCCCAAGGAGCAACCAAAACCTACACCCTGCAGCTCCCCTTGGCCTGGAGGGTTTCACTCCCCTCTCTCCAGTCTGCAATCCTCCCGCCTGCCTGCCCTGTCTGGAATAACCCCTCGCTGTCTGCCCTGCCAGGGACAGCGGGACCCTCTCCGTGGGCAGCCAAGGCCCCAGCGTTTGTGCCCCGCCTCTCCCTAGTTGAGGTTGAGGTGCGGGTTTGCAGAGGCTGGGTACCGACGAGCCGCGCTCAGCCCTGGGGCAGGGCAGGACCGAGTTGCCGCCGCCCAAGAGGAGCGGCCAGGCGCCTGCAGGAGCAACTTGAGAGATGGAATCCACCGTTTCCCCAGGACGACTTGTTGATAATCTCTCCCCCGCCCGCGCCTTCTACAGACGGCCGGGGAGAGGCAGTGCCAGAAGGATTCTTCCCCAGAGAGACGCAGTCGAAGGCTGGCTGGCGGGGAGACCCCCCTGCAGGGCCGCAAACTCGAGGGCCAGGCACTTGACCCCTGGCAAGGTGGCCTGCACCTGCTAGCTAGGCACCCGGGGAAAAGGGGTCTCAAAAAATCACTGCTCCCGGGAGAACAGGCAAGCGAGGAGCGAGACCCCCGAGCGCCGGGACTCCTGGGCCTCCGGGGGAATGAATAAATTATTAAGCGCCCAATACACAATAGCCTCGCTAGATGGAGACGAGGAATCACTGCGGCGGCGGCGGCGGCGGCGGGGAGCGCGGGCGGGAGCGCAGTCCCGGGCGGGAGGCGGGCGAGGCGCTGGCTCAGCTCACGTCTGTTGCCCTTTTTCGTGCATTATTGATTTCGCCTCCGCCCGCGGCCCTGCTGCCCCCGCCGGCGCTCGGGGGCCCGCGCCTCCGGCCCGCTGCGTGAAAGGCGCGGAGAGCCGGGGCACCCCCGCTCCCCGGCCAGCCGCGCGGCGCCACCGGGAAGGGCGGGGACCCGGGCGGCGCGGGGAGGGTTCGCGCGGCCGGCTCCAGGCGGCTCGGGGGAGACTTTACCCGCCCTCCGCCTCCGCCTCGGTCGCCCGCCCCGGCCCTGGGCGCAGGGTGCCGCCCCGCGCGCGGCCAGGCGCAGCCCGGAGCCGCCGCGCCCTGCGTCCCGAGCGAGCGCGCGGCGCCCGGGTCCCCGGCTCGGCCGCCCCGGAGGCCCAAGCGGCGCGCAAACTTTTGCTCCAGTGCTCGGCGCTCCTCCCCAGCATGTGAAGCCCCCGGGCGTCCGCGCAGCCGCCAGGGTGAGGACCGAGGCCCCGCCTAGAGGGCGGGGGGACAGGGGAGGCGGCGGGCTTTAAATGGGGGCCGTCCGGCGGCTAAACGGAGCTGCCGCGGGGGGAGCGCGGATCTCCCTTCTCCGCGCCAGGGATCTGCCGGGGCCGCAGCCCGCCAAGGTGGCGTGAGGCACTGGAGGGGGTGCGGGCTGGGAGGAGGGGGAGAGCGGGGTTCGGGGGGCGGGAAGCCGGGGGCGCGCGGAGGTTGCAAGTGTTGCATTGTGCGCAGTGAGGCCGGCGGGGCAGAGAGGGTGCACGCAGCGGGCGATTTCGCGGTGCGGTGTAGGCAGGAGTCGGTGGGTGTGCACGGGAGCCCGTGGGTGGTGCACGATGCTATGAGTGTGCGCGCAGGGTGAGCGGCGCCCGCCGGATTTGAAGTGTGCTCGCCGTGAGAGCGAGTTGTGTACGGCGATTTCTGAGGGGTGCCCGGGGCTCGGTGAGTGTACTCAGGGGCCAGGGTGCGCTCGCTGGCTGCCGGCCGTGTGCCTAGAACGGGGTGTGAGTGCTGGGCTGGACGCTAGGCCAGCGAGTGTGCAAGCTGGAGCAGAGGCGCCCGCCTGATTGACGAGGGTGCCCAGGGGTGCGGGGCGTGCCCGCTGCCCCGGGCTGGTGCGTGCGCTGGGGCGCGGCGGCGATGGTGCCCGCCTGACCCGAGCCTTGCTCCCCTGACAGTTGGCCCCTCGAGCGGGGCTGCGGCCGCCGAGATGCTGCTCCGGGACCTGGTGCTGCGCCGTGGCTGCTGCTGGCCCTCGCTGCTGCTGCACTGCGCGCTCCACCCGCTCTGGGGCTTCGTGCAGGTGAGCAGAGAAGCGCCCGGGCTGGGACCCTGCGGGCAGGGGCTGCGGGGCTGGGGCGGGGAGGTGGCACTTGGCTCCTGACACCCCTGTAGCTTCCCACAGCCACCCCACCCTGGGGAGAGTTTAAGAAAAGGAAGTCTGCCCGGGTCCTTCCCAGCTGGCCCTGAGAAGGTAAACTCCAGGTGAGACCTCGGCTGTGGCCCAAGGCCCTCAGGACTGGGCTTGGGTACAAAGGGGCCACCAGGGCCCAGACAGGGGGGAAGGAAATAAACCTGAAACGGACAGTGCTCCGGAATATACATTCTTTATTTCCTACCACAACCACCGGCCAGCTTGCCAGGAACCTTCCCCAGGGCTGCACGAAAGCCAGAGCTGTGTTGCCTGCAGGTGGTGGAGTTGGGGCGTGCACAGACGATGGGTGTGGGCCACTCATGGGGGACGTGAGAAGGCACCGTCCGCATGTCCAGACGGCCCGAGGATGCATCCCTCACCCTTGGTTCTCTGGGCACCAGAGTAGAGGCCAGGGAGTACCCCCCACCGCCGCCGCCCATGCAGTCAGAGAGGGGCTTCCATGTCTGCCCCTTCCTAGCTGGGCCTTGCAGGGTAACGTTTCTGAGCCTGGTTTGTTCTTCCTGATGGTGCTGTTAGCAGTACTGATGGGAGAAAGCAAGATTCCTAGCGCAGGGCCTGGGCCGTAAGAAACAGGAAGCGGGAGCTGTTGCTGCCACTGGCAATGTAGCTAAGGGTAGCGCGGCCCTCCTCTCTCTGGCCTGCCACGTGGTTCTGGCCATCGCCCTGGAGGCTGATGGGCATTTGTGACTGGCCGGGGGTCCCGAAGGCTCTGGGGCACTGTTCGACTGTGGAGGGCATTGAAGGACCCACCCTGGGGTGTGTGCAGCTTGTGTCCTCCTGTCCCAGGGGCACTTTGGGAACTGGGAACGCTTCGGGTGGGTGCCCTAAGGGTGACAGGCTGCGCGCCAGCCTGCTGTGCCTTGGGAGCTGACCCACAGGATGGGGCCCTGCTGGGGACTGGCTGGGTCGCTGCTGCCGGACGCTGGCCTGGGTACCCTCCCCCCGCACCCCCAGAGAACAAGGGGCTCTGAGCTGGCTGGCACCTCCAGCCCCACCCCAGCGCCAGGCCCCGTCTTCTGCTGTCTCCTCTGACTGGCCTCTGTCTCACTCACAATTGTTTCCCTTTTGGAATTGACAGCTTTGTTGAATGTGCGGAACAGCAGCTATGACAGTCAGCTGTGACTCCTCAGGACTGTGTCCCTTCTGCACACTCCAGGGGCTTGGGACGGGCGTCCCTTGTTGGACTTTTGGCTGACCTTCTGATGGGAAGTTGACAGAGGGTTTCTGGTGTTCGCTTGCTCAGTTTCCTGTCTTCTGGAAGACTTTTCCTGCTAGGGTGGAGATCAGTGTGATGATGTTGGCAGTCCCGAGACAAGAATTCTGCTGGATGAACCAGCAGGATTGAAACAGAAAACCCAGTCCCACCTGTACCCTTCTCTCCCCCAAAGAAACAATTTTATAGGAAGCAGCTCCAGGTTTTACAGCCTGGTCCATCAGCCAGGCGGTGCTTGCGTGAGCAGCTCCGTGTGTGTGTGTGTGTGTGTGTGTGTGTGAGAGAGAGAGAGAGAGAGAGAGAGAGAGAGGGAGAGAGAGGGAGAGAGAGATGTTCTTACTCAACTCAAATCAATTTTCATGAAAATCAATTAGGAAAGGAATCCTCCAGACAACTGGGATGGTAAAATCTTGGCTTGAGGCTCTGGAAAAATTAATTTACAAATGACAGGGACAGAGAAACCACGGGAAGGGGGGCTTTGGAATGAATGGATTGAGCTTCGAAGCCAAAAGACTGACTGCAGGGGAACAGAGGAGGGAAGACGCGATGTGGAAGTCCATGAGGCCACGCGTTTCCCTTTAAGCGGTAAGACTAAGACCTGTCCCTTCGTGGGCGTCTGTGCCCCCGTGAAGGTTTTTCTGACAGAGTCCCCAGAGAGGGGCAAGGGGCCGATGTGCCCGTCCCCTGAGGAACGGGGCCCCTGAGGAGTCAGGAACTGGGAAGTCCCCCAAAGTCCCAGCTTCCCCCCTGGAATTCGGCCAAAGCTGCTGGATGCTCAGGAAGCCCCTGGTTCAAGTCCGAGGCCACTTCGGCGGCCGGCGGCGGGCCAGAGGCACGCCATCGCCTGCTCCGGGCTCTTTAATGCCTCTGGAGCCGAGCTTCTGAGCTTGGTGATTTAGGGTTCTTCTGAGTTCACTTCCAAATGATGTTTTTTTCTTGGCAAGGGAAGAAGATGACAGGCTGGCAGATTGATTGGGTGTGACAGCAGTGTGTCTCGGCGAGTTACCGTGGTGCTGGCCAAACTCCTCAAAAGATGCCAGAAGCCATCGCTGCTGCGGTCGCTCTCCTAAAGCCATTGTCAGGGAGACAGGCGGTGACCTGGCCTCCCCAGTCCCTGCGCTAAGCAGGAGCTACCCGGGCCCAAGCCATGCTGAACCCCTTCTGTGGTCGGTCAGCAGCATTTATTGGGCACCCGCTGTATACCTGGCCCTGTGTTTGGTGCAAATGGCTCAGTGGTCCCTGCCGTCGTGGTGCTGTGAGGTCAAGCAAGGGATCTTAGGCAGTGGAGCTCAGTGGGGGCAAATAGCATGGGCCTGGTGCCAGAGTGACTCAGGGGGAGGAGTCAGGATGCAGATGAGGCTGAGGGAGCAGGCCCAGGGATGGCACCGAAGGGAGAGGAGGGGGAAAGCCTGGGGAGGTGAGGCCCTGACAGTGTCTCACTGCACGTGATCCTGAGGACTTAGAGCAGGAGACGACAGGGTCTGAGCCCAGCTCCAGCACCAAGGGGAGGGCGGGGGAGGGGAGGGCAGCCGGGCTCAGCCGGTGAATGCACAGATGTGCAACCAAACGGGAGCTTCCGGTGAGCCAGGACAGCTTCTAGCATCTTCCGTGTGGCCTTTGGGATGGGCACATTGTTGTCTGTCTGAGACTCCAGGGGTCCTGCGTTTCCGCTGGCAGCCCCAGTGAGAGGCAAGTGCTGCCCAGTGGGGGTCTCGTGGTGGCCTGGCTGGGGCGGCAGCAGAGGGGCTGGAGGAAATTGGGCAAAAGCGAAGGTCATTGTGGCCGCAGCATCCACCAGACCTGCAGGCTGCGCTTGCTGGCCAGGAGTGGGCCAGGGGCTGGGGAAGGGGGTATGAGGCTGGCACGCGGCAACCATGCAGCCGGGCCCCCCAGGCCACAACAGGTGGTGAGGCTGTGGGGCTGCAGCAGCACGCTGGGCCACGGTACACTGGTCACAGCGATTGCAAGACTCAGACCCACGAGGGCGCCGCAGAGTGCGGGCGAGAGGGTGGGCAGCTGGAGTGACGAGGGGTCCTGGGCGTGACCACAGCTGCTCTCAGCCTGTGAGTGGCTGGCGAGTCGCTGACCTCTCTGTGCCTCTGCTCCTTTTCAGACAAGACCAGCTGAGTGCCGGTGACACAGGGGTGACATCCTTCTCCTTGTAGACTCCCCGAGACAGAGACCACGCAAGCTGGGTGCCGATGGGCGCTCAGCCCCTGCTGGTCTGAACACAGCACCGCTGCTCAGCAGAGCCCCAAGTGGCCCTGGGCTTGGGGACCCGGGTAGATCCTGCAGGTCCCCCCGCCCAACCCCCAGTACACTTCTCAGTGGGCACCGAGGCTACCGGCACTCTGGGGCACGAGCCTGGCGTTTCACCCCGAGTGTGGGCGCCACTCGCCTCCCTCAGCTGTTCCCACGGCTGACACTCGCCAGGGGCCGGGAAGTCATGGCTGCGCGGGATCCACACAGCACAGACTCACTCCTGCCCCACCCCGAGACGCCCACAGCGTGGCATGGAGATGGGTGTCACCCCAGAGCAGGAAGGGTGTGCCAGGCGAGGAAGCGGCACCGGGCAGGTAGGGCTCATCTCGGGGGGCGTGGGGTGCCGCCTGGCTTTGCCCCAGGTTGTGTGAGAGCGGGGTTTGAAGCATGAAGAGATGTTGGCAGGTGAATGGATGAGGGGCTCAGTGGCTGACTGTCACTCGTGGGAGGCTCTGTGGCCCCAGGATTGTGTGGGACCAAGTGGTCAGGCCCCTGCGCCATGGCTGCCCTCGGGGAGGGGGCAGGCAGCTCAGAGCTGGCCTCCACGAGGACAGGGATGGAGCCGTTTGCCTGTCCCCATCGGGGTGAGGCCCTCACGCACCTGGCTCCTTCTGCTGCTCCTCCTGCAGCTTGAAACTTGGCGTCACTACGTCACCGACAGCCACTCAAAACAGCAGCTCACAGTTTAGCCAGCACAGCACGCCCCTGTCTTTGAACTCTCTGAGTTGCACCTTGGAGGGGGTAAGAGGCGTGGCCTCGGCTGTGGCCTGGCGTGCAGTCAGGATACTTGGTGGCGTGCAGGATGAGGCAGGCTCAGAGGCCAGCTCTCGGGAGCACGGAGCCACCCCGCAGCCCCCAGGGTCTGGAGCAGTGGCAATCCAGCGGGGGACGGGTTCGGTGCTGGGAACACTGAGGACGGCACTGGCAGAGAAGAGGGTGGGCTCAGCCCGACGTGGAAGGAGTTAATCTGCTCGCTAAAATAATCGAGAGAGGGCTCCCCGTGGGAGGAGAGGCACTTCCCAGTGGGAGATAAAATTGCCTTCCAGGATCTGAGACACAGTCAATGGTCCTCTAACAACACTAAATGCTGCCCAGCAGGAGTGTCCCGGCCTCCCAGTATTAAGTTCAGGCAGCCCACCTGCCCCCATGGCCGTGACCCAGCGCCTGCTGGCCCGTCACCTGCGAGGTGGCCAGCTCGGCCCCGCCTCCAGAGGCAGGCTGCACACGGGAAGTTGCGGGTCTGGGGGGTCTACTCCGTCGTGGTTGACAGACAGCCAGAGAAAGTAACCGTGGCCACCCTAGGTGGGGGCTGACCAGCAGCTCGCTCTGTGTACCTCAAATCAGCTCAGGCCCCGGGACAAGCACAGACCCTGACGCGGCAGGCGGGCAGGGATGCGGGCAGTGTACCCAGCGCTCCCCCACCTGCCCCTCGTAGATCTGGAACCTGGGCAGCTCCAGCTCCCAGGCCCGGCTTCCCCGGCAGCCAGGGTTGGGGAACTGCTGGGCGGGCACAGCCACCTGCAGCCACCCGGCCAAGCTCACGGACAAGGACACTGAGACCAGGCTTTCAACGCAGCAGGCCAGGGAGCAAGAGGCGCACATGCTGCCCTGGATTGCGGCATGCTTGCCTGCACTCGGCAGGCACTGACCGAATGCTAGCGCTGCCTTGGGAGCTGGTTTATAATAATAGGGGTGGGCCGGGGCGCTGGCCCCTGCTCTCATACACCTTACAGGGCTGCTTCCAAACGTTCATGAAAATGGAGTAAAACGGTGTTTGTGTTGGTGCAAAAAATATTTGGAATCCTTGCAGAAAGATCATGGGGAACGTGTATCATGGAGAACACTGTGCTTGTATCTTTTGAACCAAAATACACTTGCTTTTAAGTTCCATTTTCCACGAGCTTTTTGAAGTCCCCTCGTAGAATGCCCAGGTGAAGACAGGTGGGCAGCAGGCAGTCACCCACAGGTGACCCCACTGCCAGGCCTGGTGCCTGGTTAGGGAGGTGGGGAGCTTCCTGGAGCAGGTGAGAGCTGTGCTGAGTAACAGGCAGAGAAGGGGGCCGGGCGGGAGACCATGCTGGCCCCAATGGCCGGGGCCCAGCAGGGCGGGGCTGAGAGGTCGCTGGGAGTCAGGTCCAGCAGCGCCTCGTGGGTCATTCGGTCCCAGGGCAGTGTGGATGTGCACCTGGGGCTTGTGGGGGTAGGGATGGTTGGAGGAGCGCTCCCCACATGACCGCCCAGAGGCTGATGGAGAGCACCAGGCAGGCTGCTCTGTCCCCTTTAGAGGCCTGGCCGGGTGAGGGTCCTCCCCGGGAAGGGAGTGCCCTGCCCCAGGTGGACACGAGAAGATGAGGACTGGACAGTGTGCTGAAGCGAGGGAGATGGGGGTGGCAGCTGGGTCGGGCTGCCGAGGAGGTGGGATCTTGCCCTGGCACTGAGAGTGGCACCCTCGAGCAGCCACGGTGCCTGGTTCTCGGCTTCCTCGCTTGCGCGGTAGGGGGATTCCGCAAGGTGGCCTGCCCGTTCTTGTCTACCCCTCCCTCACAGCCAGGTACTTGCCCAGGGCCCTGTAGCTGGTCCCCAGCAGAGCTGGCCAGCCCAGCTTCCGTGGGTCCCTCCTGCCCCGGCTTTGGGGAGGCATCCCAGGTTCCAGTCCCTGGGGAACTGCAGTGGGGCGGGCCCATCTCGGCTTCCCATTGCTTCCTGTCTCCTACATCTCTCTGTGTGCTCCTCTCCGCAGGTGACGCACGGTGAGCCCCAGAAGTCCTGCTCCAAGGTGACGGACAGCTGCCAACACATCTGCCAGTGCCGGCCCCCTCCCCCGCTGCCCCCGCCGCCCCCGCCCCCGCCGCCTCCCAGACTGCTCTCTGCCCCAGGTAGGTGGTGATGGCTGTCTCTGTTTTCGGGTTTCTCTCTGTGTTTTCCTGGGTCCAGGAGGATCCGGTGAGCGAGGCCGAGGGCAGCCCGGCCTCCTTTGTAATTTTCCACTGGCCGAGCAGGAGGGAAGCCAAGGCTGAACTTTTCCCTGCAGTCTGCAAAATGCCTTTCCCACAGAAGGCTCCTGCGAGATGGAGAAGGATGCTGTCCGTCAGTTAATCAGATAAAACTCAATCTCCATCTGATGAGTGACCGGCCTGCATTGTTTGGAAGGCCAGAGCTTCACTGGGAGGCAGGCGCTGGGTACCGTCTCCAACACCCGCCCGCCCACCCCCCACACACACACACAGAGTTTTGTTTTTCAGTTTTAATTCATGTTTAAAGAAGCAGCGAGGATAGAACCAAAGCCAAGGCTATGGGAGCAAAGTTACCCAGACGCCTTTTCGCTTTTGCACACGATTCTCCCAAGACGTCTCTGAGACACGTTTCGTCTCGGGACCATTGGCTCTCTGAACCATCTGATGGTCTGGTCACTCAAACAAAGGAGCGTTTCTCTAGCCAGAAACGGCCTTGGCCTTGACCTCTGTGTGGCTGAGTTTCCTGCGTGCGGTTGCCGGCTGCTACGGGAGATTCCATAGGTTAGATTCATCACTCGGGGTTTGGCTGCAGAATGCCCGCGTCGGCCCGCGTCTGCCTCATTAGACACATGTCTGTGGAAGTATTTGGGGCGTATCTTCAGTAACCTTGGCGAGGCCACGCTCCGCTCGGCTGTTTTGTACCCAGCAGCTTTGCAGTCTTCCAGGGCATCTTTGCGGTCTGCATGCATTGCTGCCCTCGGATGCCAGGCGCCACCCGTCTCCCTCCGCACCTGGCACCTGGGACCCACTGTGGCCCCCAGACTGCCTGCTTCAGCATTACCTGTGGCGTTTGTTTTCGGGGGTTCACTGCAAACTCCCCGAGTGAGATTGGTCGGGGTGGGGGCGGGGTGCTCATGAGTCATCGTGGGAAGTTGCAAAGTGGCTGACTGTGCCTGCCAGGTCCTCTGCTCCGCCTCTGCCGGACCCCTCTGCCCCAGGACACTCGCTGCGGGCGCCTACCCTACTGAAGGAGCCCCTGGGCCTGCACCCAGCCCTGGAGCTCACTCCCTTCCTTCCCTCCCTCCCCTCCCTCTCTCTCGGGGCCCCAGGCCTGGGCCGTCTGCACCTGTGCTTGTACCTGGGGGATCCACACCCCCAGCAAGGGTCCCTTCCGTTTGTCTTGTGTCAGCAAGTTCTGTGCCAGACCCGGGTACAGGTCTGTTCTGCCCCTGTTGGATAGCTCAGCCCGCAGCGGGGCTGTCTGGTTGTAACCCATGGCAAGTGGGCAAGAGAAGGCAGAAACTGTTTACCAGACACACTGCAAATTCCCAATTAGTTATGCAAAACTAAGCCCCAGTAAATGGTAACATTGGCCTGGGTCTTAAGAACACATGGAATCGCTCCAGGTTGGAATCTTATGAACCAGACTGCGGGGATGGGGCAGCCAAGCCAAGGGCACAGCACGCAGGAAGACAGAACGGAGCCCTCCGGGGTGGTCTCAGTCCACTTCCTGTCGCTGCAGCAGAGCACCTGAGGATGGCTGGTTTGTAAAGGAAAGAGGGTGACTTGCGCTAGGGTCCCTGAGGTTGGCAGCCGGGTGTTGGAGCCTCGTGCTGCGTCCTGATGTGGCAGGAAAGACAGGCAGGCGATTGTGTGAGAGAGGGCAGCAGAGGGGTCGGCACAACCCACTCTTGCGGCCGGGAGTCCATCCCCGTGAGAACTCACCCCGTCTCTCAGGAAAGACATTAACCTCCCTCTCTGCCGCTGCACCTCCCGTCACCGCACAGGCAACCCGATTTCAACAGGAGCTTTGACCGGGACAACCACAGGCGCACCAGAGCGGGGTCTCTAGGGGCGGCCGAGGCGCAGGCCTTGAGAGAGCCATGTGCCTGACCGAGTAGGTCTCACGCACCCTGTGGGTCCCTCCACACCCAGAGCCACCTCCCAGCTGCCTTATTTTTTTCCTTAAATAGACGCGCATTTTTGCTGGTACAAATTTATTTCTAAACAAAGAAACCAGTGTTACTCGCACAGGTAGGTGACCATAAAAGTATAAGGCTGATGGAGGGGCTGGCACTGTGGCATAGCACGTAAAGCCGCTGCCGGCAGTGCCGGCATCCCATATGGATGCCAGTTCAAGTCCCGGCTGCTCCACTTCCAATCCAGTTCTCTGCTATGGCCTGGGAAAGCAGTAGAAGATGGCCCAAGTCCTTGGGCCCCTGTGCCCGCGTGGGAGAGCTGGAGGGAGCTCCTGGCTCCTGGCTTCAGATCTAGGACTGGGAGCCCAGCCTGTTGTGGGAGGCTCTAAGCTCGCGGGCTGGCTTTGGGTAACAGGGAGAGAAGCAGGTGGCAGAGGAGTTAAGGCCCTGGAAGCACCATGCTGAGACTTTCTCTACAATCGCACGCTTTGTGAGAGACCCAGAGGGGCTCATTTCTTGTCATAGGTTTCCATGTGTTTGAGTGCCAGGCTCCTTAACCACGGAGACATGGGCCCCCCCTTTCCGAAGCCCTGCCGTGGGCAGTGACGACCCCAAGAAGGTGGCAAAGCAGGGAAGCGGTGACCTTGCCTTGTCTGTTTCGGAGAAATTAATTTTTTTTGACAGCGCAGTGTGTATTAGGATGGAGCTGCCAGCCCCGGACTGGAGTCAAGTTGAGGACTGCCGAGAGGGCTCTACAGCCGGGCCAGGGCCCCAGAGGGGGGAGGCCACTGAGGCTTCGTGTAGCTGAGCTCCGGGCTTGCGCTGCCTCTGGGAGAGAGGCAAGCTGTGGGTGGTGCCACGGAAGGGATTTTTCCATTACAAGCAGCAGAAAGGCATCTTGGAGGGGATTAAGTGATATAAAATATAGGAGGAGAAATGTTAGTCTGTGTCTCGGGTGTCAGGATGTTCCCGCCGCAGGCCTGCGGGACCCCAGGTCTCCGCGCAGGGGGAGTTCTGCCTCCCCGTTTCTCTCCTGCCTTTTCCTGGAGAGCCCCTGCTCTCAGGCCGGCTGGCTCCCTGTGGCTCCTACTCCAGAATTCTACCCACTTTTTTTTCTTTTAAATATTTATTAATTTACTTGAAAGGCAGAATTACAGAGGGGCAGAGGTAGAGAGAGACAGAGACAGACAGAGAGAGAGAGAGAGAGAGAGAGAGAGGAGGTCTTCCATCCACTGGTTCACTCCCCAATTGGCCCTAACGGCCAGAGCTGCGCGGATCCAAAGCCAGGAGCCAGGAGCTTCCTCCAGGTCTCCCACAATGGCACAGGGGCCCAAGGACCTGGGCCATCTTCTACTGCTTTCCCAGGCTATAGCAGAGAGCTGGATTGGAGGTGGAGCAGTCAGGACTTGAACCGGCGCCATATGGGATGCTGGCACTGCAGGCTGTGGCTTTACCTGCTACTCCACAGCACTGGCTCCTCCATCAGCCTCACATTCAGCAATCTCCCTCGAAAGACAGTTTCTCTTCCCCCAGAGTGCAGTAAAATCCAGGGACTGACTTTCTCGGGACCAGCTTGGGCCACATGTCCTTTCCTGGACCAATCACGCTGGCCTCTGGGATGGCCAATGGTGCTCAGTCAGGCCCTGGAGTTAGTGCGTGTGGACGCAGGTTAGGGGAGTCAGCACGTGCAAGTGAAAGCCCAGGCAGAGGGCCTGTGCCCCAAGGGTGAGGACGTGGACCTGAGGCTGGGGGGTGGGGATGCGGCCACAGCACAGGTCAGACGTGGGAGGCAGATGAGACAGTGCAGGGAATGTGTTTTCTGTTTCTCTTGGTCCTCCTGGAGCCTAGCCCAGATCCCTGCACACAAGTAGTGCCCAGTAAATGTCAAAGCCATGGTCATGTCCACAGCTTCTGCCAACTGTAAGATGCAGATGCCTGTTCTGCAGTCCGGGAAGAATCGGCGTCTCCCAGAGGGCAGGAGGCCCCGCGCTGGGAAGTTGTCATCTCTCGGAGCTCGCTGGCGTTCAGAGCAGTCACTCAGGGCCCTGTGCAGCGCCTGCGAGTGCGTCTGGATCTGCACACCAGGGGTGGGGTGTGTGCCAGGGACTGGGGAGCCCGCAGTGGGCACCAGAGACAGCCCCTGTCCCCACAGAGCGCATAGACAGCCCAGTGGCTGGGGCCCCAGGAGTGGCCTTGCTGCCACCTCCCTGGACATTCTGGCACCAGGCACAGCCGTCTTATAGGTTGCGCCTCATATCCCTGGCACCGTCAAGGATCCCGCCCTCTCCTGGGGACGCTTGCCGAGCCCCTGTCCCACGCCCAGCCCGGTATTGGCGCCTGCAGGGATACAGAGGCACACAGGGACTTGTCCGCATTGGCAGGGGCTGGGTCCCGGGAGACTGCGGCCACGGTGGCCACGGCACCAGAGCCGATGCCATGAGCCCAGGTGGTGGGCCAGCCCCGCCCCTCCCTCCCTGTGGCTCTAAGAGGGCCGGCCGACTTCAGCTTCAGCTTCTTCCTCTTCCAGTAGCTCTGTGGGCGACACCGCCCCAGGGATGGGGTGCAGGATTCCCCTAAGCGAGAAGGTGGCTGATCCTCGCTCCTGTCCCTCGGCCCGTCCGTGCCAGCCAGAGCGGAGGTAGAAAGTGCTGGGGAGGATACCTGATTCCAGACGGGACGTGCAGGATCCCAAAGGAGCGTTCCTGTAGCCAGGGATGACTTCAGCCCTGGCCCCTCCTCTCCGCGGCTATGTTCCTTGTTGATGGTTGCGGGCAGATAAAGCCTCCGAAAGGAGATTTTGTACACGGGAGTCTTCAAAAAGTTCCTGGAAAATGTGATTTCTGGACAGATTTAAAAATTGCTCTTGCGATAAGAGAAACTTAGCTTTTCATTCATTTTCCAGGAACCTTTTGGGGCAGCCATCGGTCACTCGTGTAGAATGCCATGGTCATGTCTGGGTCCGTGAAACCTTGCAGGGAGCAAGGGTTCGCGTGGGGTGGGGGT